AAACAATACTCGGCAGAGGGAAGGGATCAGAGTGAGTGTTAAATTGTGAGGGAGTGATATGAAACAGCTGGGTGCAATCAGTGTTAACAGCTGTGTGCAATCCGTGCTGAGTGCAATCAGTGCAATGAATGATGGGATATGTAGTCCGGGGTGATGTGCAACAGTGTGTAGTGCGAGAGTCAATGAAATTGGAAAGGGTGACCTCTGATGGCTAACAGAAGGAAGTTCATGGACCGGATTCGTGACAACTGCATCCTCACATACTGTGGTCTATTTGAGAGATAGCCAGTTCACCAAATGACCATACTCTGATGTACTCCAGCATTTTCCATCTTACTTCTCAGCAGTAAAGGCTGAATAGTATCAAATGCACTAGAGAAATCAAATAACTTAATTCTAAAAGTGCTATCTGGAGTCTCTAAGTGATAATTGCATCATCTACCCCAAATATTATAAGCAAACTGTAGTTTATCCTCAGCAACACATTACCTGCTTAATATGGTTTAGTACCAGTCTCTTCAAAAACTTCATCAACTGTGCTGGCAAGGCAATTGGGCTATAATGCGAAAACTCCTTGAGGTTTGTTATCTTAAACTACCAATGTCTTCACCATGTGATTTACACAGTACCTCCCAATCAGTTGTTTATAAATGCATCATAAACCAATTCATACCATTTCTTAACAGTTCTTATTACTGGCGGTTGCTCCATCACAACAGGTACATGAAATGACAAAATAAACAAGATTATTATCCGATCGACCCAATGGAGGAAGCTGTGAAGATCTATAAGCTTCTGTGACATTTACATATAACAAGTCCAAGGTTTTATTGTCCCTTGTGTCACAGTCCACATACTGAGTAAACATGTGAAGAGTGTTATGAAGAGATGCTTGGTTAAAATCGCCTGAGATAAAAATGAGTGATTGAGGATATTTTGGTTGCATCCTGGCTGTAATATTGATGTGCTCACAAGCATTAATCACATTGGCCGATGGAGGGATATATACCATTATCACTATCACAAATGAAAATTCTCTAGGCAAATAGTACAGTCTCATTCCCACAGCAAGTAATTTAATGTCCTTGTTACACCGTTTTTCTTTAACCTTAATATGACCCAGATTACACCAGCGCTCATTGATAAACAGT